GTGGATGAAAAATCTCATGCAACAGTGCTGCACACACGGGCATATATTCTGAGAGCAAGACCCTGTTGCTGTCCGAATAAACAGATTGGTGCTGCAGCTGAATGCCATTTCTGCAAAGAAAACAGCAATGGTTAACAATAAAACAGGAACAATAAAACAGTAACTCGACAATAATACAACTATTTTTGTTTTTTCAATTTTTTTTACTTTTTAAGTTTTTTTTTTTTTACTTTTTTATTTGTTTTTACTTTTTTAACTTCCAGATGGTAGGGTCTCTAAAAATGCAATAGCCAGTATCCTGACTACCCAACATCTTTGGAGACCCTGTGCATATATATGTCGTGCATTACCCTATACTAATAGTCCACTAGTGTCTGGTAGCGACGGAAGCAGTCCTTGAGGCAGAGACCAAGTTTGCCAGGACAGGAGGGACAAAAAAGCAGGTGTCACGCCTAATTCCGTGCCGGCTACAGACACATCTTTTTTGGGGTGCATTTTGGGTTAGGGTGTCAGGAATGGCATTGGGAAAATGCCTCTCATGCAGCCGGCTCACTGTACCTGTGGTGGGGGTTTGGGCCACAGCACCTTCTGGATACAAAAGGGCTGTGATGATCTCTTCCTGGAATTTTAGGAAGGATCCACTTCATCCAGTTGCTTTGTAAAGCACAAAAGCGTTATATAGAGCCAATTGAAATAAATAAACAGACAATTGTTTGTACCAGCTTCTGGCTTTTCGAGAAAACAAAGTACGGCTTCATAATCTGGTTGTTGAAGTCCACCCCTTCCATGTTAAGGTTATACTCATGAACACAGAGGGGCTTCTCAACAACACCAGCTGCCATGGGAATTTGGATGGTTGTGTCTGCGTGAATGGAAGACAGGACGAAAAAACATCCCTTTTGTCCTACTTCACTGCGAGCAATTCATAATTTTTCAAACAGGCTTTTCCCCCCTTTCTAAGAAAGGTATTTACAAGGCGTTGGGGAAAGCCCCGGCAATTAGGTCACACGGGGCCACATGCGCTAATTCCAAGACTGTATAAGTGTCTAAATAGTGGCATGCTTGTATAAAAATGATCCACGTATAAGTGGTACCCCATATGGAAAAAGGGTGACACCATGTCCCAAACTATCTTGCTACTGATCCCCATGTAGTCTGGGCATTTGGGGGGCTCGGTCTTTTCCCTTGTAAATCTGAAAATTACATGTATACTTGTTGCCCTCTCAGAGGTCTTGTATATTTTGACCCCATATCTGGCATGCTGGCTGGGGAGAAATTGTTTGAATGCAAGGCGGCCAGAAAAACTAATGAGGGGACTCATCAACACAGATGTTTTGCTGGCGAGTACACACATCTGCAAATTTCTGGTTAAGGTGATTTACGAGGGGCTGAATTTTGTGGAGCAAGTCAAATTCAGGGTCACCCCAAGGATGACAGAGTGTGTTGTCATTGAAATGCATAAATCACATTATATTCTCATATCTATGCCTGGCCACTGCAGCAGAGAACAGGGGCATATGATGAATCGGGTCTGTGGACCAATATACAGTGAGGAACAGAAGTATTTGAACAGCCTGCGATTTTGCAAGTTCTTCCACTTAGAAATCATGGAGGGGTCTGAAATTCACATTGTAGGTGCCTTCCCACTCTGAGAGACAGAATTAAAAAAAAAATTCAGGAAATCACATTGTATGATTTTTAAAGAATGTATTTGTCTTGCACTGCTGAATATAAGTATTTGAACACCTGAGAAAAGCAGTGTAAATATTTGGTACAGAAGCCTTTGTTTGCAATTACAGAGGTCAAACATTTCCTGTAGTTCTTGACCAGGTTTGCACACATTGCAACAGGGATTTTGGCCCACTCCTCCACAGAGATCTCCTCTACATCTGTCAGGTTTTGGGGCTGTCGCTGAGCAACACAGGGTTTCAGCTCCCTCCAAAGATGTTCTATTGGATTTAGGTCTGGAGACTGGCTAGGCCACTCCAGAACCTTGATATGCTTCATACGGAGCCATTCCTTGGTTATCCTGGCTGTGTGCTTCGGGTCGTTGTCATGTTGGAAGACCCAGCCACGACCCATCTTCAATGCTCTGACTGAGGGAAGGAGGTTGTTGCTCAAAATCTCACAATAAATTGGCCCCATTGATCATCTCCTTAATACAGTCCAGTGGTCCTGTCCCCTTCGCAGAAAAGCACCCCCAAAGCATGATGTTACCACCCCCATGCTTCACAGTAGGGATGGTGTTCTTGGGATGCAACTCATCCTTTTTCCTCCAAAAACGAGTGAAGTTTAGACCAAAAAGTTCTACTTTGGTCTCATCTGACCACATGACTTTCTCCCATGCCTCCCCTGGATCATCCAGATGGTCAATGGCAGACTTCAGACAGGCCTGGACATGTGATGACTTGAGCAGGGGAACCTTCCGTTCAATGCATGATTTGAAACCATGACGGCGTAGTGTTCTACCGACAGTGACCTTTGAAACTGTGGTCCCAGCTCTCTTCATGTCATTGACCAGCTCCTCCCTTGCAGTTCTGGGCTGATTCCTCACCTTTCTTATCATCAGTGATACCCCATGAGGTAAGATCTTGCATGGAGCCCCAGTCCGAGGGAGACTGACAGTCTTCTTTAGCCTCTTTTATTTTCTAAAAATTGCTCCAACAATTGATCTATTTTCACCAAGCTGCTTGGCAATTGCCCCGTAGCCCTTTTCAGCCTTGTGGAGGTCCACAATTTTGTCTCTGGTGTCTTTTGACAGCTCTTTAGTCTTGCCCATAGTAGTAGTTGGCATCTGACTGACTGTGGGGGGTGGACAGGTGTCTTTAAAGAGCTCAGACAGGTGCTACTAAGTTAGATTAATGAGTGGAGTAAAGGTGGACTTTTTAAAGGCACAGTAACGGGTCTTTGAGAGCCAGAATTCTTGCTGTTTCTTAGGTGTTCAAATACTTAAGTTCAGCAGTGCAAGACAAATAAATTCTTTACAAATCATACAATGTGATTTCCTGAATTTTTTTTTTTAAGTTCTGTCTCTCAAAGTGGGAATGCACCTACAATGTGAATTTCAGAGCCCTCCATGATTTCTAAGTGGGAGAACTTGCAAAATCGCAGGGTGTTCAAATACTTCTGTTCCTCACTGTATAACAGCTTCAACTCTTCTGGGAAGGCTATCCACAAAGTTTAGGAGTGTGTCTATGGGAATGTTTGACCATTCTTCCAGAAGCGCATTTGTGAGGTCAGGCACTGATGTCAGACAAGAAGGCCTGGCTCGCAGTCCTCACTCTAATTCATCCCAAAGGTGTTCTATCGGGTTGAGGTCAGGACTCTGTGCAGGCCAGTCAAGTTCCTCCACCCCAAACTCGCTCATCCATGTCTTTATGCACCTTGCTTTGTGCACTGGTGCCCAGTCACGTTGGAACAGGAAGGGGCCATCCCCAAACTCATCCCACAAAGTAAAGGGCATGAAATTTTTCAAAATGTCTTGGTATGCTGATGCCTTAGGAGTTCCCTTGACTAGAACTAAGGGGCCCAGCCCAACCCCACACCATAATCCCCCCTCAACCAAATTTTACACTTGGCACAATTCAGTTAGGCAAGTGCCATTCTCCTGGCAACCAGCAAACCCAGACACGTCCATTGGATTGCCAGAAAGAGAAGCGTGATTCGTCACTCCAGAGAACATGTCTCCACTGTTCTAGAGTCCAGTGACGGTGTGCTTTACACCACTGCATCTGATGCTTTGTATTGCACTTGGTGATGTAAGGCTTGAATGTAGCTTCTCGGCTAAGGAAACCCATTCCATGAAGCTCTCTATGCACTGCTGTTGTGCTAATCTGAAGGCCACACAGTTTGGAGGTCTTTAGCTATTGACTCTGCAGCCAGTTGGCAACTTCTGCGCACTGCGTACTTCAGCATACGGTGACCCTGCTCTGTCACTTTACATGGCCTACCACTTCGTGGCTGAGTTGCTGTTGCTACCACTTTGTTATAACACCACCAACAGTTGACTGTGGAATATTTAGTAGCAAGGACATTTCACGGATGGACTTATTGCACAGCTGGTAACCTATCACGGTACCACGCTTGAACTCACTGAGCTCCTGAGAGAGACTCATTCTTTCACAAATGTGTGTAGAAGCAGTCTGAATGCCTAGGTGCATTTTACACCTGTGGCCATGGAGATGATTGGAACACCAGAATCCAATGATTTGGAGGGGTGTCCCAATACCTTTGGCAATATAGTGTATATATAATGTAGCAGATATACAGTGGTAAGCAATTTATTTTTATTTGCAGATAACTATGGAAATTTACTTTTTCGTTTCCACCAGGTGCATGGAAATTTGCAACCTCATAATGTGTGAGAGGCCACATTTATCAAAATGCTACATTGTGCAATTCTTAGACATACCCTCATCAATGCACAAAAGTACAATGATGTTGCAGATTAGATTATAAGATTGAAATAAAACATGCAACTGTTTTGGTCAAACTAGTAATGTATACATACTTAAATGCAATTATCCTAAATTGTAAGCTCGAAAGAGCAGGGCCCTCGAACCCCTTGTGTATTGTATTGTTACTGTCTTGTCTCTTGTTCTGTCCCCCTGCTATTGTACAGCGCTGAGCAAACCCTTTGGCGCTATATAAATACTGTATAATAATAATAATAATAATAATATGCATTTGTGAGTGAAATTCAGAAAATGCTAAGAAAGTTTGCTGCAACCACAAATTTAATGCCAATCTATATTTACTACAGTAATATAGCTCATATCAGCCATATAAACTTGAAATCCATTTCAGTAAATGCCATATTACTAGTGTAACCATTAAGAAAAGGAGAGGGAGATATGGAAGAGCACGGCTGGGTATTGAGTTACCAAGTCCTAAGTCTGTTCTTCGGGTCAGGAATGTGGTATCCTGCCAAATAAAACTTTAATATGTGTTTAAGACATGCCAAAACTTGCCAAAAAAAGACAAGTATAGAAAATAGATACCTTGGCAATTTAGCACGGCGTAAAGCCTGCTCTACATCCATATCCTCACTGTCATAATCCACCAAGATAAGACTGAACTGGTCATCGTGGGTCTTTAAATACAGGAACTCAAGATCATTGATAAGCTGCTGGACCCACCGAGCTTGGTTCTTCACTGTAAAAAAACAAAAAAAATTAATACAAAAAAGAAAACAATATTCTCTGAGGAGCTATCAGCAGTGACTGAGTGGTTCCACAAGTGTAGCTTTGCAGATTCACCACATTAATGTGTTATTGAATTTAAAGCAGGCTGCAATTGTTGCACATAGGGAAATCTGATGGACAGTGAAAGCACAAAACAAAGCATCCTGGTCTTTTGAAGCATGACAATTGTTTATTTGGTATACAAAAGCCAGGAACATCCACATACAGTCAGGTCCATAAATATTGGGACATCGACACAATTCTAACATTTTTGGCTCTATACACCACCACAATGGATTTGAAATGAAACGAACAAGATGTGCTTTAACTGCAGACTGTCAGCTTTAATTTGAGGGTATTTACATCCAAATCAGGTGAACGGTGTAGGAATTACAACAGTTTGCATATGTGCCTCCCACTTGTTAAGGGACCAAAAGTAATGGGACAGAATAATAATCATAAATCAAACTTTCACTTTTTAATACTTGGTTGCAAATCCTTTGCAGTCAATTACAGCCTGAAGTCTGAAGTCTGACGCTGGGTTTCATCCCTGGTGATGCTCTGCCAGGCTCTACTGCAACTGTCTTCAGTTCCTGCTTGTTCTTGGGGCATTTTCCCTTCAGTTTTGTCTTCAGCAAGTGAAATGCATGCTCAATCAGATTCAGGTCAGGTGATTGACTTGGCCATTACATAACATTCCACTTCTTTCCCTTAAAAAACTCTTTGGTTGCTTTTGCAGTATGTTTTGGGTCATTGTCCATCTGCACTGTGAAGCGGCGTCCAATGAGTTCCGAAGCATTTGGCTGAATATGAGCAGATAATATTGCCCGAAACACTTCAGAATTCATCCTGCTGCTTTTGTCAGCAGTCACATCATCAATAAATACAAGAGGACCAGTTCCATTGGCAGCCATACATGCCCACGCCATGACACTATCACCACCATGCTTCACTGATGAGGTGGTATGCTTAGGATCATGAGCAGTTCCTTTCCTTCTCCATACTCTTCTCTTCCCATCACTCTGGTACAAGTTGATCTTGGTCTCATCTGTCCATAGGGTGTTGTTCCAGAACTGTGAAGGCTTTTTTAGATGTCGTTTGGCAAACTCTAATCTGGCCTTCCTGTTTTTGAGCCTCACCAATGGTTTACATCTTGTGGTGAACCCTCTGTATTCACTCTGGAGAAGTCTTCTCTTGATTGTTGACTTTGACACACATACACCTACCTCCTGGAGAGTGTTCTTGATCTGGCCAACTGTTGTGAAGGGTGTTTTCTTCACCAGGGAAAGAATTCTTCGGTCATCCACCACTGTTGTTTTCCGTGGTCTTCCGGGTTTTTTGGTGTTGCTGAGCTCACCGGTGCGTTCCTTCTTTTTAAGAATGTTTCAAACAGTTGTTTTGGCCACGCCTAATGTTTTTGCTATCTCTCTGATGGGTTGTTTTGTTTTTTCACCCTAATGATAGCTTGCTTCACTGATAGTGACAGCTCTTTGGATCTCATCTTGAGAGTTGACAGCAACAAATTCCAAAATTTGTTTCATTTCAAATCCATTGTGATGGTGTATAGAGCCAAAAATGTTAGAATTGTGTCAATGTCCCAATATTTATGGACCTGACTGTATGGTGCACCTCATCTATCACAGCAAGAGTGTGTTGCTCATCACTGCACACAGTGGTTTCTGGTAAGGCTGATGTGTTTCCAGGGTCCTGCCCCCTTCACCAATAAAGAAGGCGGTACTCTGGAAACCAACCAGTCTTACTAGATGCGGAACTGAACACCCCACTCTTGCTGTGACTGATCTGCAGCACCATATTTGTATGTTACAGGCTTTTATCTACCAATGATTGTGAGCACTTCTATAAATAAACCTTCCATACTAACAGTTACCATGCTATACGATGCCAGGGTGAACTGTGTTAAGTTTTATAGCCCGTGCACACATTAGATTAGTGTGCAGGCAGCTGTCAGTTTTGGGGGTAGTAAGCCATGGTGAGAGGGTGGTATGATATGCATTGCAGTGCATCACAGAGTTCCCTTTTTTCTTTTGTCAACTTTATTTAAAGTGCACAAAGTGAAACTTTATTCATGTCACTGCATAGCAGAGCAGTGCATTGCACTGCTGTCGGTGACATGCGGCTGCCTTTCCAAGCACTGCGATAAAATGCAGCATGTCTACATTTTATTGCAGCTTACTGCACCGCACCTCCAGGCTGCATTACAGTGCAAACGGCGCACATATAAAACAAATGTTTTCTATGTGCCCAAGTGATGACTGCCATTCTTCCAGTGTGTACAATATGTCAACAGGCCCCTACACATGTTAAAGCCATATCAGTGCTCATGTAACGGATTACCATTTTCCCCCACAATAAACCTCATGTATTAACCTGTCCTGGCCAGCTGTATGCATATTTGTGGCAGCTGAGAGGCCCTTAATGCTAAGCCGTTGCAGATATACGTCTATGGGGAATGGCTCTTTTGTGCTGAGAGCATAAGCTGTTACAGAAAGCCCCTGATGGTTGTTTACATTGGTTGTTGCAGCAGTAATATGATTGGAAGTTCCCAATCACATACCTCCCGGCATTCAGATTCCTTTAAAGTGCAAGGTGGCAGCGGAAAAGGGTTAAATGGAGAACTTAAGATACATGGCCAGTGACTAAAAGCTTATTTAAAAGCGAGACTATAATACCTCCTGATCCCAGGCGCTGTCTTCTCTGCATATTGGAAGATGATATAGTTCCAGATGCTTTTATTAAGGAAGCAGTCTCTAGGGCCTTTATTCCAGGCACGTAGAGGCATTTTTTGCTTCACTGGAAAAATGCCTCCCCTCTCACATATAGGAAATGGCTACAAAATATATAGGCATCATTCTTCGATATGAAATGGATTATTCATCAACATAGAGGTTGTCTGTCCCAAATTTGAAAAAGTGTGGGGTGGGTGGCTGGATATTTTCCGGTCTTGCTCCAACGGAACTGGTCATGGATAGATTGTTGAGGTAATATGACTCTTTGGTACCTTTTCCACCTTTATCATGGGTTATTGTGTTGAGTTGGGGAAAAATAAATGCTAAGCTATATATAGTGGGTGGATTTGAATCATGATGGGTGAGGAGGCGACTAGCTAGGGGAGTAGCAAGTTCATTTGATATTGTTTGGCGCTGTGTCTCGACTGATTGTTATGAGACTATCTATGTCAAACAGCTGTATATAAAAGTGATGTATGGTTCTGGAACCTGAACTATGTAAGTTTGTGTAAACTTAATAAAGCTTTTTTTACATAAAAAGAGTGAGGCTATACTGTTTTGTGTTTTCATATGTCCATCAGATTTCTTTATGTGCAGCAAGAGCCATTTATTGTACCTCACCTGTCCTTCGATGTGGTGGCTGCGCAGTTTTTCTTTTATTTGAGTTTAAAAAAAAAAAAACACACACTCTTATTTACAGCTGGTTCCCTGGTTGGCCTTGCAAGTAACACTCCTTTCCCAAAGTAACACCCACTCACTCTACAGCATGGTCATCCTAGGACAGGAATACAGGACACCCCCCATATCTATAACATAGGAAAAGTTGTTCCGTAGTCCATATACTAATTTGGGAGGGCTGATGACATTTAGGATTTCAGTGCAGCACAGGAAGGAATCTAGCTTACTAGATTTCTGGAAGGATCATTTTTTGCACTTATCAAAACAGATATAACAAAACACTTTCAGTGTTATTTTTAAACAGAAAAAAATAAATGGAGCATGTTCATTGTCAGGGTTTACAAAATACTGTTTTAAAGTTTGACACCCTTCCCAACCATTAAGGTTCCCAATTGTAGAACATAAAGACCAAAGGGAGTATTTCACTAGATTGTACATTCTGTGAGGGGGGGGGGGGGTGATACATGGTCTCTGTATGTTATAAGGCATGGTTATTATGCTATTTAACATTTTTGGATTTTAGATGTAATTAGTAACATTGGATGTTTTTTACACTTTAATACTCTTGTTACACGTTCTCTGTTTACCCACGAAATCCCTGGGGGTCAATTTTCTTTTGGTACTGCTATTTTGGGATGTGGGTTTATATCAAGATTGGTCTCTTCCTCCCATTCACTTTTACATTCTTGGGAATAGGTAAGTCTTTGGGGGATGCAGATTGGGCCATAGCAACATAAAATTATCGATATCAGTTGGGGACCTGGATCTGGTGAGGGGCTTATAGCCTCAAAGGATGTGAGAATAGTTTATAGTGTTGTTTGTGTTGCTGGGGATTCCTTTTTCAGTATGGCACCAGGTTTGTTCTCATCTATGGGTACTCAGGTCACAAAATGTGCCCTTCTCAAAGTATGTCCAGTCCTTAAGTTTGGGAGCTGTATGCTATGTGAATAGGGAGGTATTAGTTTGGCTGAGAGGAAACCCTGAGTTTTAGTGCAGCAGAGTTAGTGGACTAATTATGTCAGATAATGCAAAGTTTTTTGCACATCGAAGTAAACAACTTTAGGGTCTCTTAAACCAAGGGCTAGAGCAGATCTGCATGTCATGCATTTCATGTGGACGTTCCAGTCTGTGTAAGATGGCATGCTTGATAATTATGAATATCAGCTAGACAAATGCTTCCCATGTGTTTAGGTCTGGTAAATGTCCCCATACTGATTCTGTGAGATTTTTTATTCCATAAAAACCTGCAAAATCTTGCTTGAATGGAGGAGAAAAAAATGCGCTGAGGGGCTGGGTAAAATATCTGCTTATGTGGCTACTTTGGATACTTTGTGTGATCAAGAGAAATATAAACATTCAGGGCTTCCTTACACCCTTCAGAGAAAAGGATCAAAAGAAATGATCAATATTAGTAGGGAAAGGGAGCAGCCCTGTCTAATGCCATTGCAGATACGGAAGGTTTTCAACAGGGTTTTGACATGCAGTACTTTAACCAAGTAATCACAACAAACTTACCAGGCACCACAAAGTGCACTGTGGCACGAGAGTTCCAGGTCAGGCTGACAGGCCGGCAGAGGATTGGTTTACTATAGACAGGAGGGCTGGGAGAAATTTCCGGTGGTTCTGCAGGGGGACTTTCATCACTATCCCCTCCTGTACCGCGGTGGATTAGAAGGTACACATATTCTGCCAGCCTCACTTTCCTTCTGCCTCTCTCTTCAAGCTCCAATTCTATTAGGTACCGGTTACCCCGAGCTGAATCCCGGCGCTTCTCCACGTTGATTATACGAAGCAAAGTATATATTCTAAAAATTTGTCACAACAGAAATGTGAGAACTGGTGGAACAAAGGAGGTTTGACAAAAAAAACAATTAATAAAAGTAAATCTTGCTTGCCATAAATAAAAACAGCTCTTCCCCAAGTTCCCTGTTAACATGGTCTCTAGCTACCAGTCATTAGAGACTTCAGAGTTTATAGTTTTGAATTAGGCAGACTTTGTCACTTACTGTTCCTTATATCTCACTGAAAGTCTACCAAAGAAAGCAGAGCCTGTATCATTAGTGAACACATACAGGAGTCCCCATGCACGCAGACAATTAAAGATGGTATTCAAAGTTTCCAGCTGTACTGCACCTTTCAGGTGTCCAAGAGACTGACAGCCACAGTAATAAATCCTACTGCAGTCTGAGTTTGGAACTGAATAAATAGCATTGGTAGGACTTAAAGTGTTACTAAACCCACAACAGAATAATCAATCTGTATATGCAGTAAAGCATGCTTGTTATACTCACTGTGGAACCTAAGGAGTTAATCCTCTGCATTGTGTAAAATTGATGTTTGATCCTGACTTCTCTGATCCTCCCATTTTTCCAGTGTCCCCTCTTATCTCCTGATAAGACATATTGTGTGGAAACACTGCACATGCTCAATTTGGTATGTATTGTTAGACATGATTTTTTTTTTCTTGGGAGAGTGCATGTGATCAACACAGGGCCAGACAGCACTGCCCAGACAGAGATCAAAGGTTCTGCATCCTCCTAGAGAAAACTCCTCCTACAAGCTTTAACCAGTGCTCTGCTGAACATTGATAGAAGTCACAAGACTGCTCTAACTGCTGATGAGAAAAGGTATTTAGCAGTTTATATTTACTAAAGTAATTGCATTTCCATGTTCTGTGGGAGACCAGATATAGTGAATGAAGGGTCCTGGGTTTAGTAACTCTTTAATATTGAATGCAATACAGATAAGCTCTGTTAGGGCAGCACACATCACTCACCCTCCATTTTTCTCATTGAGCTTCTCCATGTACTGAGCCACGACATCCACGGTTTCAGATTCTGAGAGCTGCAGGTTACCACTCACATTACAGCGAAGGTCATTCCAGTCCGACCTCAGCATTTCAAAATCAACATTTCCAACACTGAATGTGCGCTGCCAGTTAATGGCATCCTCTGGCCACAACTGCCTTGGCTCTGTGTCCTCGTAGCTGTAGTCCTGTAGTTCTTCTGGTGGAGCTTCTGAAGAAATGAGAGGAGGTCCACCAGGAAGACTAGGTGAGGTAGGGATGGGTAGTCCTGGAACTTCGGTCTGACCTTCCCAGCTAAATAGTCCTAATTCTGAGGTATCAGGTGGAGTCCAGGGTTTGGACCGTCGTCCCCCATGTGGCTCTTTTGGGGGTGTAGGGATATGAGGGTGTTCCCGGTGTCTAGATGTTCTGTGCGGTTTAGGTTTAGGTAGCAGCATACCTGGGAAGACTTGACCTCGAGTCTTTCGAACTCCAGAAAGGAGTCGCGTCACATAAACTTTATCCTGTTCCTGTTTTTCTGAAGTCACAGATTTTTCCTTTGATATATGCTTCGTATTTCCCTCTACTGTGGTGACCTCCAACCTGCTTGCTTTGCTGGGCCTTACTTCTACATTTTTGTGCTTCCCTATAACATCTGATCTTGCATACATCACTTGTTCTTCCAATTTCCCATGCTGGTTTTTAAACTCTGTCTGTTCACCTTTGTTTTTGCCTTCAGATCTGCCTCTAATCTTTCTACTTTCTAACCTGCTCCCTTTTGCCCAATGCTCAACCTCACTCCCTTCTCGTGCTCTAAATGCAGACTTTCCCCCTGTTGATATAGGATTAATTGTCGTTCCTTGCCCACCCAGCAAAGGTGTTTGCCTCTTCCCATGTCCCCGGCGAGCTGCTGGTGGGCTTTCCCTTGGTGCCCACAGCAAAGATCGAGTTCTTAGTGAGGTCTGTGTGCTGTCCTTTACAATAGGCATAGAACTTCGGGAATCATTGTACAGGGCATTATGTTGCCCCTGACCCTCAATGCTGGGTGAAGTTGGGTCAACTTTCTCCTCTTCCCTTTTTTTCCTGAGTGACATGCCAGGTAGCAGTGCCCCCTCTTCATCTTCATCATCATCCATGAAGTCTGAGATTGGAAATATGAATTAGAAAACATCACATAGTTACAAAAACACAAAAACATAAAGCATGTTTTTGATCAGTAGAAAATATAAATAGTTTGAGGAGTGAGAAACATGCCCAAAAAATTAGCATGAACAAGCCCAAAGATATATCATTTTTATGGGACCATACTTTTCAGTTCAGATATTACAGAATGCGCTCATAGGCGACTTATCTGCCAAGGTATTTTGCAGAGGCCTGATGAGCTCCGATACATCAGTCCCTTTGCCTAAATCTACAAAAATATATTGTTACAGGGCAAGTCAATTTTAACCTTAGACTATAAAAGTAAATAAATGTGTAATTTAAAAAAAAAATATATGTTCAGGCAAAATTATGAGCATTAAAATTTGAAAAATCCACTGCTTGTTAGGCAATGTTTACACCGGGCAGGTGTAGGTATATGCAGATGTACTTTCAGTACCTGTATAAGTGAGGCATTGCCCCACATGAGATCAGAACACTCTCCTGGCAACAGAAGACCCAACTGAAGGTGTCAGGAAAGGCCTTCCCATAGTGCAGGTGAAGCTCCACGATGCACAAATATGCACATGCGCAGAGTCCTTGCAAGCCGAGCAGATGTGCAGGCACTTGGGCATAGGCGCGCGCACTTGCACTCGTGCATGTGGGCGCGCGCGCCTATCACTAATGCTGGCGCCAAAAGGGCTATTTAAACTGTCTGCTGTAGTTGTCCCATTGGCGTATGGTCTTTTCCCCTGCTCGTGTTTCCTGACTCCCGTGATTGACTCCTGTTACCAAACCAGCCTGTTCCTGACTTCTGCTTGATTGCCTCCTGCCCTGACCTCTGGCTTGTCCTCGGATTATTCTTCTGCCTGCTCCTGTCTGATTGATCTTCTGTTACTGAACCTAGCCTGTGACCAGACTACTCTTCCTCCTGCCGCTATAAGGCTGATCTGCCTCGCCAATATCGAACCCGGCTCGTCTGACCCTGCATCCTCAGCACGCTGTGCTCCAGCATCCATCCATCCATCCCGCACGCCTACATCTGCATCCTGCTCTTGCCTGCAACTCATCAGCCCACCAGCTGTTACCGGATTGATCTCAGGCACTCATATCCCACCGTGCACCTGCGACCGCTCTCTCAACATCAGCAGTCCTTGAGCCGGAGTTGTACGGGAAGCCTGCCTCTTCACGTCAGGTCACTATCCAGGTACGTGACAGAAGGAATGGCAAAATTACTGGCCTATTGATCACTAACAATCACATTGTCAGGGATCGCGGCTCCGTAGCCCAGGATCGCGGCGCCGTCCCCCGCGCATGCGCATTGGCGGCAGATCACGCCGGGACACAGGCACTAGGTCCCGGCGAGCCGCGGCTGACAGGATGCCGCGCATGCGCAGTAGGAGCCGCGGGCGTGCCTCAGGCATCCAATCAGCCGGCATCCTAGCCGGCCAATGACAGTGCAGGGCGCACTATTTAAAGATGCCCTGCACTGTCACAGATTGCCGCAAGGTCTTTATGTGATTCTGAGTTCCTGCACCCGTCTAGTGACCCTGATTGACCCTGACTACGCTGCCTGCCCCTGTGATTGACCCGGATTGCCCTGACTATTCTGCCTGCTCCTGTGTTTGACCCGGACTGCCCTGACCATTCTACGGACTGACTTACCCTGCTGATCCTGCGTGTGACCCGACTACTCTTTGCCCACCGATTCTGTACCCCGCTTACCCTCACGGGCCCACGATCCGTTACTACCCTGCTGGGGCCGCCATCCTCTTCACATCTGGCTCTCCCGGTACCTGTCCCCGGAGGTCTCCTCAGCCACTGGTGGGCCTGCTCGGAGGTCGTGACCTGGCCCGGGACTGTTTCAAGTCCATCCCCACCATCAGGGGCCCTGGTGAAAGCACAGCCCGGGCTTAGACCCCACGCTCTGAGTAGGTCTGTCAGTTGGCAGCCTGAGGCACCACCTGGCGGATCATAACACACATTGTGCATTTGTTGGCATATGGAGGTCAAGACAAAACATCACAACTTAACAGCAGTCTACACTAGTAAAAGAAAAAACAAAAATATGTGCAAGCACTGTAACGGTCATCTTGAACCTACCGCAGAATAAGCATGCTGCCAGTTAAGGGGAATCACACACAATGTATAAATTTAAATAGAAATGTATGACTTTATAAAATGAACCATTATCACCAGTTTACACAGGAATTAATACTGAAACTACATTTTTAAGCTTTTATTATCTATAAGTTTTTAGAACAATTGTGGGCAAGGAAAACATCCACTTCCGATTGCCTAGGTGTTCGGAGCAGCAGTGGGAGCGGGTTCCTGTCAAAATCGGGTACTCTCCTCCCCCCTACTCCCCAAAGTTGGCAATTCCTAAACAGGGAACAGAGGACCAGTCCTTAAAGCTGAACTTTCGCTTTTGGACACACTGTATGATACAACTGGAAGATTCCATGAGTATATTATGCATTTATTTGTCCCTTAGCCTTATATAGGCTGCCTGTTGTGCATATATATCGATTACAAACATAATCTTCAAATGGAATCTTACATTCATTGACACAAATCATTTATACCACTACCTACACTGCTATAGCATGAAACTGATCTCTCCTTAAACTGCCATACAAAATGTTCACTACTGGGTGAATAAAGGAGTGGATTTAACATACCAAACTCCATTCACTGGTTTCACTGTATTGTTGTAATCAACATCTATGCTTCAAAAAACAGCACAGACCACGTGTGCAGACTAGATCCAGGACTGCTTAGCTTCGTATTAACAGCATTCCAATATCATCTTGATGCTTAAGTGAACTTTTAATTTTAAGACAGTGTGATCTTGGCTCTTCTTACTCAACAAACAATGAAGGTATGTACACTGTGCTCATGGTAGCCAAGATGAGTCACCCCCCAAACAATTCCTTTAAATTTCCACCCACCCTAGGTACTCATAAAAAGATCATAGAGGGGAAATGGGGATACATTATCCATCAGATGTGTCAGAACTTTATTATATTCCATAATATAAGGTGCATTAGGGCTGCTGTCATACTGCCATCTCCTCTTGGCGGGGGGGGGAACCCCGGCAGCCACACTGCAGCAACACGTTTTGAATACACCTGTAATCTTCCTCAGGATGCCCACTGCGCATGTGTCAACGGGTCTTTTAAACCCTGTGCTAGAGATGAGGTAAATTTAATTTACTTACCATTATTATCAATGATTGTCTGTTCTTTAGTCCTCCCACAATTTCTTCACTATAACTAAACTATAGTGCCCCCTTGTTCTTGGTAAAGACCTTAAAGCACAACTCCACAAAACCAACTTCAGAGGTTATCCAACATCCAGAGGGCTGCTGGGGATAACAAAGCTCTCTGGGTTTTTTTTATGTCAGATGAATTGGTGGACCTCAGTCACACAATGTTACAAAATGTCTTGAGGGGAGGTGGAAAAACATCACAATCTACGAATAGGAATATCTGACTGCTGTGAACCTGTTCAAGTAATAGTGCTCAGAGCTGGTCTTTAAGCACTGATTAGTATGTTTTATTTTATATATATATATATATATATATATATATATATATATATATATATTGTGAAGGGAGTCACTTTGGGTGGGGGGCCCATGGAACACAGCCCCCTTTAGAGAGGTGAGGAGACCCCTGTCTCAGCTCCCCATATCCCTCTTATGTGTAAGTCACCCTGTGCCTGTTAGGGGTACAGTGTGGAAAGTCCTGCTATTGTGTAGACATGTATAGGTGGGGTGTGGGGATTGTTCATTGTTTATTGCCATATGGTTGTCCCATTGTTCTATTGTGTGTCTTGCTTGGGAGCAAACTATTATGGGGATGTATGTGTTTGTGTATTGGCTTGAAAGGGTGGTGTCCGTGGATCTGTGTTCGGACAGGGAAGCGGGAGTCTAATGGAAGCACCCAAGCGCAGACTGGGTCGGTTCCGTTACATATATATATATTTTTTACATATATATATTTTTATCCTTTATATCTCATGAACATGCTAATTCCATTTCTAAAGCCCAACTCTAGGCTCAGTTACCACTTGCCCACCTGAGGATTTACCCCGCTTCCTGACCAGGCCATTTTTTGTGATATGGCACTACGCTACTTTCCCACAAATAGAACTTTCTTTCGGTGGCATTTGATCGCCTGTGCGGTTTTCATTTTTTGCGCTACAAACAAAAAAAGGCCAACAATTTTTAGAAAAAAAAACAGTATTTTTGACATTGAACATGTCAAGCAAAAAAAAAAAAATTTCGTCAAAAATTTAGGCCAAAATATATTCTGCTACATGTCTTTGCTAAAAAAAAAAAAAAGATCCCAATACGTGTAATTAATTGGTTTACGTGAAAGTTATAGTGTTTACAAATGGCGGTATAGATACTGGAATTTTTTTTTACTAGTAATGGCGGCAATCAGCGACTTATAGCGGGACTGCGGCGGGCATCCTGAGACTGGGGGGAACTGACTTGGTGTCACTGACATCCCCAGTGACACCAATACAGTGATCCGTGCTAATAAAAAGCACTGACACTGTACTACTGGACAGGAAGGGGTTAACATCTGGGGCGATCAAAGGGTTAACGATGTGCTGTTTCACTATGTTGGCTGTGTGTGTGCTTTTCTGTAAGCACACTGCTTTGTATGGCTCTGCTATGCAGAGCCATACAAAGCAGTGTGCAGGAGCAGACAGGGGAGAGATGTGTGTTTCTACACAGGTCTCTCCCCCGTCGGAGATAATCAGCGATCACCGGGTGCTGTCGAGTAATCACCGACCGGGACCTGGTGATTGACAGCCGAGGGTGCGAATGGCAGCGCGGGTAGGGAGCACGCCCCCTACCTGGAACTGCAAAATCATGGATATATATATAGGTTACTTTGCACACTTGTGCTGCCCTGTAGCAGTATTTCTGCTACAGTGCGACGTGAAACCGGTTAAAGTTGAACATTATTCAGAAAACTGAGTCCTAGATCACTTCAGGCTGTCCCCTTTTGCACTTAAAAATAATTGCCTATACTGTGTAAAAACCAGTAATACACGGTCTCATCCTGTTCTGCACATGCTCAGTTGCTGTTTATTTTTCGGCACTGTGCTGGAATTGAAGAAGCCAATCTGCTGACGGTTTAAAGATTTACCACTGTTCAGGACTCTGAGCTTCAGTACAATGGCAGCCAGCACTTGCCGGCTTAAATATTTAAGGACTTGTATTGTGGAAGTGAACACCCTAGTCTGAGCACTGGTTCTCTTACACTTTTCAATATAGCAGTGGAGCTTGGGTGAGTTCTATTAGAACAAGTATAGGACTAGACGAGTCATGTGCCATCCCTAATAGATGATTTAGATAGAATGCAGTGCAAGGGGCTATTTTATACTTACGTCTATTGAAGAACAGGAATGGCATCTGAGGGGATTCATCATCATCCATCTTCATGTATTTATAGAATCCAAACCTTGGGTAGAAAAGCACACAAGAGAAAAAAAAAAGCTACACTATTTTAAAAAGACAAAAGATGAGAGAAACATGGATGAGAAACAATGAAAACATCGAACTGAAAATAGGCTGGATTCACTAAGCTGTAACCCAAGTGCCATAACGGTCAATATTTTCAGCAACGTGATTATTATTGCAATATATAAGGATGATTAAAGCTCAAATAAATGAGTGTTTAAGAATTACACTTACTTCTCCAAGTACACTGGAGACTCACGGTAAAAACACTTGTTTTCGGTTTCCATATGTGTCAGGCGGGTGAAATCATTGGGGTAGACAAAAGTAAGATACACCTAAAAACAGAAAAGGGGCTTATGAGCAGGAAAGCAGACAAAAATGCAGATACATTTATTAAAAGTAATTTAACACCATAAAAAAATAAATAGATTATGTGCTCAATCTGCTGACACAACTAAAAAGGTATTCTGCCATGGAGAAACTCCTGCTGGCTGCCAATAATGAACAACTGTCCATACAACAAGCTGTATAAATGTACAAAACTGTGGCCTTACAACTCAATACAACATCAATATTAGGACTAGAGATGTAAGCATTTTAATAAAAATATACTGTTAATGAAAAACAAAAATTTTGTCTAGTGGCATTTAAAGCCTAAGTAAAGCCACAATCACAAACAGAAAAATCAGCACAAGGGACATAACCTATAGGCAGGCAGTAGGATGTGTCCTTTGTGCCGACTCCTGTTCTGTTAGTGAAAATCTTTTTCCATACTGCCTCACTCCAACTGCCATAAATCTTCTGGTGTGGCAGAGCTTAATACAATGGTTCGTCACAGGCGCTCATCAAAAAGACTGCCTATGCTCACTCTTTCCACTCATATCTTCAATTCATACAAAGCCATATTACAGCTTCTATGAATAGAGGTGGTGCACCTATCAACCATCTGCTTTGCCAACATTTTTAGATCCCATTTCATTCATAGAAGCTGTAATACCGCTTTGTATGAATGAATGAGCTGGATGGAAGGGGCGGGGGCATAGGCTGGTTGTCTTGATGAGAGCCTGTGACAGTCTAGTAGTATTAACCCCTGCCACACTGATGATTACAGCAGTGTCGGTGGGACAGGATAGAAGAATATTTTTCATTAACAGAGAAGGAATTAACACAAGGACACATCTTACTGATGTGTGCTGATTTGGTTTGTTATTTTGGCTGCACTTAGGCTTGAATACAACAGCAGAACAATGAAAACAAACACCAACATCTTACATAAGGTGTTGCACTTTGACAGAATAAAATTTAAATATCAGAACATAACCCCTTTTTACGGTAACAAAAAATCCTGTTTTCGCTTGTGTTCATTGACGGACACAGCTCTCTGAATCTTGCCCATACGGGTGTCCCAAAGCAGTGCCTCAATGAGGGGTGGGCAAACCAGAAAAAACAACTAACAACCAGGCAAACAAGCCAACCACCCAAACAACCCCTAAAGGGGCAAACGAGGAACCTGAAACAGCAGCCTGCAACTTTGCGGCCAGCAAGCAATTGGAAGATGCAAACACATCAGGCAGCCACCTTGCAACCAGAGACAATGCCAGAAGGCACAGGAGACACCAACCATACCAATGGAGTGTGCTTTAACGGGGAAGGAATGAGCCTGCCTTGTAATAGTGTATTCCCAAACAAGCATCAGCTGGAGCCAGTGGAAAATCATGGCATAGAAAGCCACCAGGCCATCCCAGTGGCCAGCCATGAGCTCCAAAAGAGAAGGTGACCTCCCCAGGAGGCTGCAGTGGACAGGCAGCATGAACTGCCAAACCCACATTCTGGATGTGTAATGCAACCTCCTAGGATGCGATAGCCGAGGACACAAGAAGTGTAAGACAACATCTACGCTTTGGTGAAAAATCCAACACCACCAACAATAGAAACGAGGGGCAGAGATGAAGAACAACCAGAGTCTTGGAAAACCTAAAAAAAATAGGGATAACAGTTCAGGCAGATGCCCAGGAGCCATGGCAACCAAGAAGGCATCTCTTTGAAAAAAAGTAAGCAGGGGACTAGCCCAAATACTCTCAAAAGATAGGCTTCTGGAAAATGAAAATAGCAATTCAAATCCCATGGTGGTAACAGGTTGCGCATGGGGGGCGCCAGGCGACAACTCCTCGACTAAAGGTGCGAGCAGGGAGTACGTGACCAAGGGACGCTACGAAAAAAAAGAAACTACCATATGCTGGACGGGGCAGACCTCATGAGGTACAGGACCCCTCTGAAGTCTAAAAGGGAGTGCATTGTGATCCCCCCTTCAGAGCAACTTGGGAGTCCGTCCAAAGGAGCTAGCCGTCCAAATAACCCATCAGGGCAATCCCCTGTTGTGTCAGCAACATTAAGACTAAAGCCAGCACCATGGGAATCACCCATGGAGACAAGACCAGCTTGGAGAGAAATGCCACAAAATGAAAATGTGCATACCCAATGCAAATCATAGGAACCACTGGAGTCCTTCGCCCATGGGAACATGCAAGTACGCATCCTAGATGTCCTATGGATGTTAGCAAACATCCCTGAGGAAGAGAGGCCACCACCGAACGGATGGATACTGGTAGGAAGCATTTCAGGACCTCTAGGGGAAGGATCATGGAACCCCTACCATGGCTGGTGCCGTGAACAGATACGGAGTAAAACCCTGAGAGACATGCTAGCTTGGATAGAGGGACAGTTACTCCCTGGTGAAGCAGGTCCTGCACCGCACCATACAGGGCCCGAAGCCATGATGGCAGAAGATGACAGAATGTCTCTGCTAGACAAAAATCAAACTCTATATTGTGGATGCAAAAAAACAGATTGTGGATCTACTTGTGGGAAATAAGGAAGGGCCACGGGTCCTAGGGCCAGCAAAGTTGACCCCCTACCCTGGAAACAGGTGGGAAAAACCTACATGCTGAGGTGGCATTAACCCCATCTGCGGATGTCTGGAACGGCTTGGAGCCCTAGTCAGAACAGCCCAAGACTCTTGTGTGCAGAACAGGATGGGCAGGACCACCGACGCAGTTCTTCCCCTTTTTGGCCAGTGGGAGGAAGGTACTCTGCCAACCTCAAGTGCTCAACGTTGTCCAATGTAGTACCAAGGAGACAAACTCTCTGGAAAGGCAGGTCAGTCAGGGCTATGCATGAGTCTGGTCAGCAGCCAGCATTGGAGCCAAAGTACCCAACAAAGCACCCCCGAGACAAAGAACTTGGGAAGGAGGGGAATAGCATCTGAAGATGCAGCCCATATGCACTTCTGGCCCTGGACAACTGGGCCACTCTAGACCCACATGTCAGGTGATCAAACCATGCCGCAGAAGGTCGGCCCATGTGGGAAGCGTCAGACACCAGGGCAGCGGCCAACAAGGCCATAACGCTGACCACGCATTAGGAAACAGAATGGGCAACCAATTCTGCCCTGCGTCTGCAGGTTTCGTAAGAGGGAAGCTCCATCACCAGTATCATTGTTGCCTTGTGCAACTCCTAAAAGGGGGGAATACACCAAAGGAGATGAGGTCTACTTTATCAGAGGGACCTTCTCAAGGGGTAACATACCACAGGAGCTTGGGGACCACAAAGGGCTGTTGAAGATTTTCCCAAGACTTCCAGACAAATTTATCAAGGCAAATGGGATAAGGAAACCCTAATGGACCTAGGCGATCAGGGCACACTAAAAGGGAAAACCAACAATGTGTCCAGCCCCAAACAGACAAGTGCAAATTGCCGCATGGAGATAGGGGTAGAGGAAGCAACCCCTCCTGAGTGCAATTCCAGGACACCTATGTAGGCATACTGTCCCGCATCCACTGCTCCAAGCAGGAGACCAACGCAGCACCAATAATAAAGCAGCTAACATAACCTGAGGCCATATGTGGGGCACACGAAACCACATCCGATCTGGCGTGAAAAAAGGTGGCCATTCATTCCTGTGCCGCTTTTTTTTCTTAATAGGTCAGGGCCAGAATTCGATCCAGCGACTTGCAGGGTACACTGATACTGCTAAACAGCAGTCATTAAGGCACCTGTGCACTGTGGCTACCCTGTAATCGGCAGCCTGCTCTGCTAGCGGAAAGGTGTGGCAACAACCCCCAAACACTATCCTTCCAGCACAAAAGGGATGGGAATGCCGCTGCTCAAAATGACAGCACGACAGCCTTTTAGTGCCACCTACTAGGCGAGGGGCACCAGTCTTGCAGTTCGCCTTTGGCTCAGAACAGAGAGCGGGTGAAAGCGACGGAGTAAGGGCAGAAGCCCACATCCAAAATGTCGGGTGTGATATTCCACCCCAGTAGGCTGCAAATATCTAGCCTAAAGTAGACGGCAGCCAGATGCGTGGTGCGGACATCTGCTGGGGGGCAAGCACTAAAGCCAGGTAGGGGGGTCCACAATGCTCTTGCATCAGCAAGGGCAGAAAAAAACTTCCAATGTGCTAGAACTGATGCCAGACACACATATCTCCACCACCTGTGGACAACATACTAACCGGGGAAGGGGGGTTGTGGATGGGGGCTCATGCAACAAAGTCACCTAGGCACTAGCATACCTCCTCTGATGGAGACCAGGGGCTGCCTGCCTACCCAGTGACAAAGGCCTGTAGGGAAGGGGGAGAACCCAGCAGAGCCAACCACCCCAAGGAGCACCCAGGTTCCATCGCATCCAGGAAGAGCAGGGAGGGGGCAACTACTTACCAACCCAAAAGAACACACGGGTAACGCTCCCTGACAGAACCTCCTCTCCACCAAAATGGGGGGGCTGTCGGCCAGGGTAACACTGTGATGCGAACTATAGTTTAACTTGCTGGCCACTCCAGTCTTGGATGGGGCACGTTGCTGCCGACCTAGCGCTGGGCTAAAGGTCTGAGCACACTCGGTGGCTAGGCTGGAGTAACCACTGGATCTAGATTATCCAGCCCGTCGCCCAGCCCAGCTGTTGATTGAAGACCTCTGCAGGAAAAATCCCAGGAAAAAGGGAAAAAAAGGCCACACCACAGGTCCCAGCAAGGAGCCAGTTCTTTACTCCTGAAACACTAGGCAGAAATAATTGGATTTCTCATAGCAGAAAGGGAGTTTATACCATAGGCTGTGCCTAGTGTCCTACTCCTGCAGATGGTGATATAATCCTATGGTCAAGATTCAGAAGAGCTGTGTCCGTCAATGATCAAAGAGAAATATTAAAGATATTTTTATTGTCATTCCAAAAGCATGTTATACATGAAAGAAACGAAATGGAGAATAATAATAATATTATTATTATTATTATCAACAATTACTACCTAGGATATCTGATACCCAGAGAAACTATTTCACAAAACTGCCTTGTCAATGATAATCATGAAAATTCACAAAAATGACCAGAAAAGAAAGACCGAATGCTAGAGGTTAGTACAAAGTGTAGTCAGTGGAGAAATGCCCCCATACCCTGGTAGTCACTGTAGGTTGGGGGAATCAGTGTATCTTTGTTCAGGAACCCCTAGTAACCTCTGGAAGAACCCGGATTGGGAAATCCTGCTTTAAAGTATGAAACTTGATCATACATGGTATTATCTGATTGTACAATCCTTTATGTCTACTATCAACTGTGTGGGTCAAGGCTTTACAAAATGGGTATAAATCAAGTTGTTTAGCCAGGTCCTAACATTACATAGTTTGTGTAAAATATAAAACACTGTAAACATAGATTGGACAACTAGATTGCGAAGTATTGTACATGTCCAGCTTCAGATTCACAGTGGTTTATTTACCAAAGGCAAATATAGGCAGTGCAAAGGAAATTTCTCTTAGCTTAGTGATTGTGGAGAAAGTGCACTTTGCACAGAATACCCAATCAAGTGCAAGGAAAATTAAAAAACAACAACTGTATTTTTGCTTTGACGTGATTGGATGATGAAAGTCATCACTGCTTCCAAAATCTAGGGGAAAATGCGTTGCAAAGTGTAAATTCCTTTGCAAAGTGAGCAGCCTATTTGCCCTTCATAAAACAGAACCATGGCCACTGTGTGTAACATACTTCACATTTCCATTCTTGAGTTGTTGGGAGTACTCTGAGCTTATATGTTTCAAAACCTTTCATGTTCCCTTTCTAGCACCAAAGCAGCCTTTTTTCTGTGACTTGAAGTAAATTTCTAATGCCTTGATCAATGTTATGCACAGTTTCTAAGTTGGCAAGCTATGTATCAGTGTATGATATCACAACAAAAGGCAGCTACCTGTGAGGGTGCGCCTTATATTTGCACTTTTGCAAAAGTGGAAAGACAACATTACAACAGGTAAAAGGCATTAAAATATTAAAAGATTGACACAGAAAATGTATTCTGCATAAAAATGTAAGTGAAGAATGTGAGAAAATTCCCATCAGACATCATCTGAAACCCATAGTAATGGTGGTGCCCATTATATACTGCCAGGAATTCAAGGTATGTAATCAGGTACCGGAAGGTGGAAGCAGGTCCCAGTTTTAGACAGGCTGCAGCAGTATAATCAGAGGGTGTGTGTGTCAGCGAAGGTGTTGAAGTACCAGATTTTACCAATAGGGGACTCTACAGGAAAAGTTAAGAGTCACACATCATATTCTCAGAGAAAAAACCAGTGCTATATAATGGGGCTATCTTTCAACCGCTAAAATACCTCATCACACCGCATATGCTGGACTGCATTGCTCAGTGCAGTCCCAACACAAGTGAAAATCCATTGTCTTCAATAGGCTCAGTTCACACAAAACAGAACACACTGCAACACATTACAATGCATCACAGTGCATTGCAGCACTGGTCAAGCAAAGAAAAATAAAGTAATTAAAAAAACAACAAAACATTGCATTAAAAACTGCATTTCAGTGCACATCCATCCAATGTTTAGCTCACATTGACACTTGCTAAATACAATTCCAGTGGTACAATTCCAGCCTAATGTAGGGTGTGTAGTGATAATATTAACATAAATCTCCCTTTGCAAAATTGACCTTAAAGCCGTCGTCATTTTCAAATGTCCTTTTCCATTCATCCCAGTATCACATCCACTTACAAATTGCAGGCCTTGATAACGTGCAATGGGAAAATCCTTCACAACATATGTGGGATTGTACGCACAGGGAACTAGCACATTTTCCACCTTGGATTCCTCGATCATTGGGGCTGGAAATAGATAAACAGATCAGACATTACATTCCTTGCAGCCAACGAAGCGCTCAGATCTGCAAAGCAGAACAAGAACACAGCAGACAGCTGGTTAGTCACTAAACAGGTTTGAACACATTTGTCCTGATAGGCGAAAATCTCCTTCCAGCTTCCAATCTCTTCTACATTTAGCATACTTACTCATATAAAAAGTGTCCCGAGGGTCTGGTTTTAAAATATCAACAGCGAGTTCCTCCCTCCCAAGTGGCAGATGGTGGCTAGCAATACTGGAAAGAGTGCGTGGGATGTGGGAAACCTCATTCATCTTAAGAGATGTCTCATCTGAAGAAAAAAGATAAAAGGGTACACCTTTAAAATTAGGACTAGTATTAATCTCTGCCTGTATATATACAGTGGGGATCGAAAGTTTGGGCACCCCAGCTAAAAATTTGTATTAATGTGCATAAAGAAGCCAAGGAAAGATGGAAAAATCTCCAAAAGGCATCAAATTACAGATTAGACATTCTTATAATATGTCAACAAAAGTTAGATTTTATTTCCATCATTTACACTTTCAAAATAACAGAAAACAAAAAAATGGCGTCTGCAAAAGTTTGGGCACCCTGCAGAATTTATAGCATGCACTGCCCCCTTTGCAAAGCTGAGACCTGCCAGTGTCATGGATTGTTCTCAATCATGGTCTGGGAAGACCAGGTGATGTCAATCTCAAGGTTTTAAATGCCCAGACTCACCTGACCTTGCCCCAACAATCAGCACCATGGGTTCTACTAAGCAGTTGTCTAGAAAACTGAAACTGAAAATAGTTGACGCTCACAAAGCTGGAGAAGGCTAAAAGAAGATAGCAAAGCGTTTTCAGATGTCAGTATACTCTGTTCGGAATGTAATTAAGAAATGGCAGTCATCAGGAACAGTGGAAGTTAAAGCAACATCTGGAAGACCAAGAAAAATATCAGACAGAACAGCTCGCAGGATTGTGAGAAAAACAATTCAAAACCCACGTTTGACTGCACGATCCCTCCAGAAAGATCTGGCAGACACTGGAGTTGTGGTACACTATTCCACTATAAAGAGATACTTGTACAAATATGGTCTTCATGGAAGAGTCATCAGAAGAAAACCTCTTCTATGTCCTCACCGCAAAAATCATATAGACATATAGACAAGCCTGATGCATTTGGAAACAAGTTCTGTGGACCGATGAGGTTAAAATTGAACTTTTTGTCCGGAATGAGCAAAGGTACGTTTGGAGAAGGGGCACAGAATTTAATGAAAAGAACCTCTGTCCAACTGTAAGCATGGGGTTGGATCAATCATGCTTGGGGTTGTGTTGCAGCCAGTGGCACAGGGAACATCTCACGAGTAGAAGGAAAAATAAATTCAATTAAATTTCAGCAAATTTTGGATGGTAACTTGATGCCATCTGTGAAAAAGCTGAAGTTAAAGAAAGGATGGCTTCTACAAATGGATAATGATCCTAAACACACCTCGAAATCCACGGGGGATTACATCAAGAGGCATAAACTGAAGGTTTTGCCATGTCCTTCACAATCTCCTGACCTCAACATAATTGAAAATCTATGGATAGACCTTGAAAGAGCAGTGCGTGACAGACAGCTCAGAAATCTCAAAGCACTGGAAGACTTTTGTAAGGAAGAATGGGCAAAGATACCTCAAACAAGAATTGAAAGACTCTTGGCTGGCTACAAAAAGCGTTTACAAGCTGTGTTACTTGCCAAAGGGGGCAGTACAAGATATTAACTCTGCAGGGTGCCCAAACTTTTGCAGACGCCATTTTTTTGTTTTCTGTTATTTTGAAAGTGTAAATGATGGAAATAAAATCTAACTTTTGTTGACATATTATAAGAATGTCCAATCTGTAATTTGATGCCTTTTGGAGATTTTTCCATCTTTCCTTGGCTTCTTTATGCACATTAATACAAATTTTTAGCTGGGGTGCCCAAACTTTCGATCCCCACTGTATATATATATATATATATATATATATATATATATACACATACACACACTAAAGTTCCAAAAGTATTGGGACTCCTGCCTTTACACGCACATTATTATTATTATACAGGATTTATATAGTGCCAATAGTTTGCTCAGTGCTTTACAATAGAACGGGAGACAATAAAGCAAGAATACAGTTCAATACAAGAGGGATAGGAGGGCCCTGCTCCTTGGAGCTTACAGTCTCGGAGCACATGAACTTTAATGGAATCCCAGTCTTAGTCCGTAGGGTTCAATATTGAGGTGGCCCACCCTTTGCAGCTATAACAGCTTCAACTCTTCTGGGAAGGCTGTCCACAAGATTTAGGAGTGTGTCTATGGGAATGTTTGACCATTCTTCCAGAAGGGCAGTGAGTTCAGGCACTGATGGCAGACAAGAAGGCCTGGCTCGCAGTCTCCACTTTAATTCATCCCAAAGGTGTTCTATCGGGTTGAGGTCAGGACTCTGTACAGGCCAGTCAAGTTCCTCCACCCCAAACTCTCTCATCCATGTTTTTATGAACCTTGCTTTGTGCACTGGTGCGCAGTCATGTTGGAACAGGGCGGGAATGTTCCCAAACTGTTCCCACAAAGTCAGGAGCATGCAATTGTCCAAAGCACCTTAAGAGTTCCCTTCACTGGAACTAAGGGGCCAAACCCAACCTCTGAAATACAACCCCACACCATAATCCTCCCTCCATCGAACTTTACACTTGGCACAATGCAGTCAGGCAAGTATCGTTCTCCTGGAAACGCCAAACCCAGACACATCCATCAGATTGCCAGAGAAGTGTGATTTGTCACTCCAGAGAACACATCTCCACTGCTCGAGAGTCCAGTGGCGGCGTGCTTTACACCACTGCATCCAATGCTTTGCATTGCACTTGGTGCTGTAAGGCTTGGATGCAGCTGCTCGGCCATGGAAACCCATTCCATGAAGCTCTCTGTGCACTGTTGTTGTTCTGATCTGAAGGCCACATGAAGTTTGGAGGTCTTTAGCTACTGACCCTGTGGACAGTTGGTGACTTCTGCGCACTGTGCGCTTTAGAATTTTTCGTGGCTGAGCTGCTGTTGTTCCCAGTTGCTTCCACTTTGTTATAATACCACTAACAGTTGACCGTGGAATATTTAGTAGCACGCTTGAATTCACTGAGCAACCTATTCTTTCACAAATGTTTGTAGAAGCAGTCTGCATGCCTAGGTGCTTGATTTTATACACCTGTGGCCATGGAGGTGATTGGAACACCTGAATCCAATGATCTGGAGGGGTGTCCCAATACTTTTGGCAATATAGTGTACTGTATACACACACACTCCTGGTGAACAATATAATTAAGGCATAAAACCATATCTTTTTGTATGCATCTGCACAGTGCAATGCCACCAAGATTGTATATTATAAGGTCTCTGCCAGTGGGACTAACTTTAGTAGGTTGTTAAAGCAAAGAGTTACAATTGGTTTTGGCTATACAGTTCCATAATGACAGCCCCCCCAAGCTATTTCCCGCTATCTCCTGCTGCCTCAGCAAAGCCTGTGACACAAAGAAGTGAAGGGAGAGAATAGCTGCAGCAGTGAATCGAATGAAGAACTCATGCTTTAAATTTTCTTGCATCAGTTATATATGTTTTTGTTCTGCAATTTCTTTAGGAATGCACCCCGCTATTCACTTATAAGGGATTACATTAGTCTCTAGTGTGCATCAGAAGTGGGTATTATGTCACGTAAGGGAGAATAAGAGAGCTCCCCCTAGACTAGTCTTCATTATTCATGGAGTAGTACTAAGCTATTCACACTGCAACATTTTATATCCTTTAGATGAATGTGGAGGAAAGTTGAAGTGGCCACAGAAGGGTAAATCCTTTATTGTTTCAAAGATCTTTGACCACCATATTCTTGTCTTTTTTTTTTTCAATCAAATGTTCCTCTGTTTAACCCCTTATTAATCCTTACGCTAATCAGCCCTAATTAACACCTTATTCTCATTCTCCATTCAATTATTATTTTCCTGCTCATTTTTTTTTAGTTTCTATTTTACTAACTAATAATCATTAAAACTGTTAGTTTTTTTGTTTGCTTAAATAGGTTTTACAACTTTAACATATATTTACACATTTCACATTTAAAAAAAAATGAAAAAAATCTACTTTATTTAATTTGTAAATACCTTCGCAATGCTTTGTACGAGAATCATAATTTTAGTATCATTTTAAAACAGGACAAATTACAGAATAAAATAGGCACCTCTGCGGTTTTTATTTGTTGCACTATAAACAAAAAAAACCAACAATTTTGAAAAAAAAAAAAACCAAAACATTATTTTTGACTTTTTGCTACAATACATATCCAGTAAATTTAAAAAAAAAAAAAAATCAAACTTCGTTTATGTGAAAGTTATAGCGTGTACAAATGGTGGTATATATACTGGAATTTTTATTTTTTTATACTAGTAGTGATGGCTATCAGCGACTTATAGCGGGACTGTGGGACTGCGGTGGGCATTATGACACTGGGTGGGAGCTGACTAACTACCACTGACATCCCAATGACACTAATACAGTGATCAGTGCTAATAAAAAGCACATGCACTGGACTAATGACACTGTGTGCTGTTTTACATTATGTGCTGTGTGTTTTACTAGGGAGACATGCTGCTTTGTATTTCTCTGCTGTGCAGAGAAATACGAAGCAGCATGTCCTTGCTGGCAGGAGAGAGACCTGTGTTGTTATACACAGGTCTCTCCCCTGTCAACTTTGCCCGACAATCTCTGGGTGGCGGCGGGGAATCTCCAGCTGGGACCCAGTGATTGATATCCCTAGCCACCAATGGTTGTGCGGGTAATGTGGCATGCATGAGCCCCCTATGGGGAAATGCAAATCACACACACATATATATATATATATATATATATATATATATATACACACACATACAAACGTGATTTTGCACAGCCCTGCCGTCCTGTATAAGTACTTCCACTAGGATTGCAAAAAATAAATTGTTGCAAGACAATATTCACGAAAATAAAGCCTTGTTTGTCATTACTTAAAAAAACAATATATGTTTTACGTTTTTATCTTAAGGACAAAGTTATTGCCGAATAAACAGATTCATATTAGAAATGTAAAAAATGTGCTAATCTATAAGGGGTGAACAGGTGTAAGAGGCAAAGTGGTTAAACAGGTAGAAATGCTGCAATGGATCAGTCTTTATAAATTCAATTCTAATGCTGTTCTGTTCATTTTTTCAGTTATATCTGTCCAAAATACTGGTTGATCCTGCCAGTTTTAGCTTCCTCCCTGCACTTCCTGTAATGTGGTGACAGAGCTATTTACAGACTCCTAATGCCCTGGTAGCATGGTCAGTCAACTGTGTGTGCGCCTGTACAAGTGCTACACACAGCATGCTTGAAACATGCTGTAGACCCTGTCCTATGCCACAAACAGCCCATAAAAGAGTTTGACTGGCAAAGAAACCTGGGATTTGTAATCAAAAAGAAGACAACAATGCCACCAACACTTGTGACCTGCTACAGCTAGATTACAAAGCGCTGCTTGGTAGTATATCAATATAGTGTGTTAAAAAAAAGTTATTTTTTGCAATTCAAGAATCCTTCAATGTAGTATCTGCATTAGTGTTCAGCTGATGATCTGGTCAGTAGCTCACTTCCTGTCTTAGGATGTCCCCAGTCTTGATGGAGGAGCAATGCAACCACCAGTGGATAGATTTTTGTTTTTTGGCTTTAAAGTGTTACTAAACTCTAGTTGTCTGCCCCCTTGTATAGGCAGGACACACCAAGAGGCATAAATGTGATTACATACATATTTAAAAAATAAAGGCAGAAATGCATTTATTTTTATTTTCTTGTCTGGTCACGTGATCTCTGTCAGCAGCCTGGCCTGAAAGTGGGCAGAGCTAAGTCATATGGCGTCACATGTCCTGTGATGTTTCTTTAGCCATCTCACTCCCTCCCCATCGATACCATTCAGAGCAAAATGCACTAGCAGTCAAGCATCTGATCCTCCTAGGAGGCAGGGCACATATCGGCCTGATACTCATTCTGACAATCTTGGAAGGCAAGCCACCGCCAACCTGGTTCATGCTGCTGGGGTGAGAACCACGATCACGTGACCTAGTAAGCCGTGTATAGTAATACATGGCTTACTTACTCAACTTAATGGGGAGCATGAATACTGTGGTGGCAATGGTCTTCAAGCTCTATGACCCTGCAGATCGTTGCCATGGGGAAGGGGGAAGCATCAAGAATGGCAGGGTGAACCAAGTACAGGAAACATACATGTTAACCCCCCCCCCCCCCCCCAAAAAAAAAACAGCACATAAACAGCAACACATGCATTTAGGAAGATTTATAGATATAAATTATTTGGGGGGGATTTAGAATCACTTTAATACCATTTTAAATTAGCAGAGTCCCCTAACTGTTTTAGCAGTCCTGAAGTCCACATTCTGATGGAAATACAAATAATAAAAAGTTTAGAAGAGGTGCCGGGTAAAACTAAAAGAAAACAGTTTTGGCTAGGGTTAGTCACCATGTAATAGAGTATGGAAAGGACAGAACCAATTTCACTTTTTACTGCGGTCTGTGTCTCCATTGGGGAAATTTCTTCTTACTTCCTGTTCTGGTGACATGGCTCTTCTCAACAGGGATATAGCCAAAAATACCTGACCTGGGTTTCTAACCCTTCCTTATTCTGCTAAATGTATTTCTATAGTTTAAGATTTATATAATCACTGGAAACATTGTGAAGTAAACCAACATGCAAGAATGTAAAAACAATTTTAATACTAAATAAGTAATTAAGCATTTTCCTTGTTTTGGTAAGTGTCCCTTTAAGGAAAGGATTAACCATAAAATACCAGATTTCTACCTGTATAGAGAGACAGGTATGGGGAGTCCCACAATCTCAAACTTCATGCCAGGGAGAGCTAGACGCCACTAAAATAGAGGTAAAACACATTAAATGTGGTTGCTGTACAGAGCATGTAATCTGTTTACCTATAATCAACCTCCGCATTACACAAACTAAAACAATGAAGAATATTAGGGTCCTTATGGACAAACACACAAATGAAATACTTAAACCGAAATCTTACAACAACTGAAAAGGTTTACACTAATTCTTGCATCGCTATAACTCCTGTTATGATCTAGAGCAGGGGTCTCCAAACTTTCTAATCAAAGGGCCAGTTTACTGTCCTTCAGGCTTTAGAGAGGGCTGGACTGTGGCCAGTCAGAGCAGAAAATGCCCCGGCATTGGTGCCCATCATTGGTTTTATTGGGAGGAATAGTTCCCCATTGTTGATATCACTGAGAATAGTGCCACATTGATGGTGTCAGTAGGGGGAATGGTGCTCCATCATTTGTGTCAGTTGGAGGAATAGTGCCCCAAGGGCCAGATAAAGGCAAGCAAAGGACCACATCCATTCCCTGGGCCGCAGTTTGGAGACCTCTGATATAAAGCCTTTTGGAACTACATGATCCTCAGAACAAATGGTTAAAGCTCACCTGTAATGAGATTAAACTACCACAAGACATGAACCCAGATGTCTCTGAGAATAGTTTTAGGGAGAACTCTACCATGCAAATCTCAAATGCAGGTCCTGAAACAGAATTTGCTCCTCTACCAACCCATGCCACACTACTGATTAGTAACTTGGACGGATTGCCTCTCCGAATGAGGATTGATATCAGGAACTTAACAAAAGATACTGCATACAAACATTAAACACATCATCTCAACTGTAAAGCATGGTGGGGAGGGTATACGTTGCACCCACAGGGCATGGACAACTTGACCTCCTTGAGAGACCAATGGATGCCAAATTGTAGCAGATTGTCAGTGTGTCTAAGAACTAACAAAGTAAAGCTGTATCATGTCACAGGATTATGGCTCAAACACAGGAGTGACTGATTCTGTATTAAGAATGACCTTGTCAGAGGCCTGACCTCATTCCACTAAAATTCTGTGGCATTATATCAAACATCACAAAAATATATTTTCCTCACCTATGTTCATGCATGACCAGAAGTGTTTGGCTTAGATTAATGTCAATACAGAGGTTATGTTAATTACTAAATATAAGACCACATACTTTTTCACCAATAACATTAAGGCCTCATGCACGCTGGATGCTTTGGTCCTCTCTCCTAGATGCCTTTCTGGCAGTGGCATTTTAGCAGAAAAAATGCTTAACGTCTGTAAACGCGTGATATCCTGCACTATTATTTTAGCCACATTTTAGAGCAAATCAGGTTCAAATAAATAATACTGTCATTATAAATATGATTAGAGGAAGATCTGATTGCATTTTAGGAAAAACTACACGCATCCCTTAAAAATACCCAGCCATTTAGAAAAACTTTAGCACAAATATATTACTTTAACATGAAAAGAATGAACCACCCTGTGTACTCTTTTTAAGCTCTTTGGTGAAAAGCACAGGGGAAGCTCATAAATGAATGCATAAACAGTATGTAGAAGAAAGATGCAACATGCTTTAGAGCAAAGAATATTGATCTGAGTGATCTTTAAAATTACCCCCAACCTCAAGGATTTTGCTTTCTGTCTGTTCTATGATCACTGTACTCACTGCTACTTCCACGTGGTCTGAGCCGTGGTCGTCCTGCTTGTGAAGTAGCTCAAAGTAATATCGTCTGGAGCTCATTAATCTAAGACAGAAAATAAGCAGGATTCACAACATGAATACAGAACAGCACATAAAATTGATCACTCTCTTTGTACAAGTATTGCATGAACTTTCCACACAGCAGTTATATGACATTTCCAAGATGTGTAGCTCAACCAAATCTACTGTGAAGGGGCAATTCATAATGTCACATCAATAACATCAGGGCTTCCAAATACATAAATGAGTTGTTCTCTTCCATTAGTTTTGTTTAAACTGGCTGTGTTCAATGTAATACATTGAAACATTTTGTTTTATACTTCTGTGGTCTTTGTTTTGCCATTCAAGCATCACACAAATAGATTAGATTCTTTATTTTAATTGTATGCAATACAATAACATTTTACATGGTAGCTCTTTGACAACAGCAATAAATACACATGTATACTTATTCACACATAAATACACCAATATACATACTGGATATAACATAATAAAATATAAGCAATAGCCCATGCAAAATATATAAATGTATTCAAAGTAATTAAAATAGTATCTTTCTCTTAAGTTTTTATAATAAAACAATGTTTGCACAGAAGAGAAAAATACCAAGGTGCATTAACATTTGTGGGAACTTGTATTTGAGTGAGTAATGTAGATTAGAACACTGGGAAAGAAACTTCAATCTCTTTATAAATTTGAGGCAGGAGCTTAGATTTAAATAGCTGAAAGTATATTTAAACCAAATCAGCAAAGTCTCATAATCTTTAAAGTGGTTATAAACCCTTACATATACCCAGTGAATTGAGCAGACTCGTGTGATACACAGATGAAACAAATCCTCCTACATATGTTGTACCTGTTTACCTTCAATATTTTCTACATCCATTCAAAGTGCTGCATTTATAAAGCTTGTGTGAGCATTCAGAAAAATGGGGACAGAGTGCTGAAATCACACTCAGCTTTCAGAGCTCTTCCCACTGAGCTCTGCAGATTGAAGAGAAGAGACACACTCCCCTTCACACAGCTTACAAAACAGAGCATAAAGTTGTTAATCTGCTGGAGGTCCCTCTCCTGTCACCATTTTTCTCTCGGTGTCAAGAAAACTTGTCAGAAGTGATTCATGCTGATAATAGAGGAAAGAAGTAGCAGACAGAAATGGCACGAAGTGCTCCTAATTGAGACAAGTACATACTACACACTCACCGGCCACTTTATTAGGTACACCTTGCTAGTAGAGGGTTGGACCTCCTTTTGCTTTCAGAACTGCCTTACTTCTATGTGGCTTCAACAAGGTGTTGGAAACATTCCTCAGAGGTTTTGGTCCATATTGACATGAGCTACTGTTGCCTTTCTATCATCTCGAACCAGCCTGCCCATTCTCCTCTGACCTCTGACATCAACAAGGCATTTTCGTCCACACAACTGCCGCTCATCAGATATTTTCTCTTTTTCGGATCATCCCTTGTAAACCCTAGAGATGGTTGGGCATGAAAATCCAAGTACATCAGCAGTTTTTGAAATACTCAGACCAGCCCGTCTGGCAGCAACAATCATGCCGCATTCAAAGTCACTAAAATCCCCTTTATTCCCTATTCTGATGCTCAGTTTGAACTTCAGAAAATAGTCTTCACCATGTCTAGATGTCTAAATGCATTGACTTGCTGCCATTTGATTGGCTGATTAGCAATTTGTGTTACCAAACAATTAAAAGGGTGTATCTAATAAAGTGACCAGTGAGTGTAGAGAGATATGCTTTGCTTATATTTCAGGTCTAAAATGTATAACCACTTTAACTTACATTTTTCAATATGTTTAAATGTGCAGCTTTATTCAAAAAAAAAATCTGGCGATCCTGGTATAGAAGCCCTTGTTTATGCATTTCCTGTTATAGGGTGACAACACTCTGCCATCATCTCCCCACTGTGCTCCTTCGTCTTCAACCTATTACTCAGGCTTTTTGTGAAGACTGCAGCTGGTCAACTCACCACACTCTGCTTAGGCATTGCACACCATGATCATCAGGAAACCTGCCCTTAGACATGCAGGGAACTTAGCTTAATACCAAGCAAAAAAAAACAACTTTACTAAGAGCAGCACACTTACATACCAGAAATCACCAATCCGCCAAAAGATAATGACACAGCAGGTGGAGACACCATAGCAGATCAGCTAAAGGTACACAGAAGTGATGGATGGCTTCCAGGCATGCATCAGCAGGGGCTCTGAAGGGCCAGCAGGTAGTGTGGCTAAAAAGAGCTGGCAGCGTCTCCAGCCTCACTATGAGGATGTATTTGAAAAAGAGGGCTGAGACCCTTGAAATGTGTTATGGTTGCCCCCTCCCGACATCACCAAAGGATTTTGATAGCCGTCATCCTCATAGTGCGGCTGGAGACACCGACAGCTCTTTTTATCCACACTACCTGCTGGCCCTTTAGAACCCCTGCTGCTGCATGCTTGGTGACCATCCATTGCTTCTGTGCGTCTTCAGCTGATTGGCTCTGGTGTCTCGACCTGCCATGTGCTTCTTTCAATAAAGGTGTTTTCATTTGGTATTAACCTCAGCACCCTGCTTTTTGCTATTTTCTGCTTTATGGGGTGATCCTGCCAATGAACCATCCATTCATTCATCCATGCATCCACCCTTCATTCATCCATCCAACTTTGCATCCACCCCTTTACCATTCATCTACTATTGCAATAATTGCTGCTATACCACAGACTCTTAGTGTGTTTATCCATGGACTAATTGTTGTTACATAGTACAGAGGAGCACTGGATGACTTGTGTAATTTCTACACATTTCTTTGGTTTTCAAATTACCAACCAAATCATTCTCTTAGTTACTACGAAGAGCTACTGCTCTCTATCTCCCTTGTCACCTCTTCCCATGCTTGCCTCTAGGACTTCAACCAAGCCTCTTCCATCCTCTGGAACGCCCTACCCAATTCTGAAAGCCCTTCTCTTCAGAGAAGCCTACCCTGCCTCCACCTGAAACTGTACTTTAACTTTCTCCATCAGCTCATCCTCCACAGTTATCACTTGACTCTCCCTTTTAGATTGTAAGCTCTAATGAGTAGGGCCTTCAGATTCCTTCTGTATTTAATTGTATTGTAATTGTACTGTCTGCCCTAAGGTTGTAAAGCACTGCACAAACTGTTGGCACTATATAAATCCTGAGTAATAACAATAATAAGAACAACAATATTAATAAGAACAACAACCACCACCAACCTTTGTGCCGCAGTCCTTTCTCACATTCTACACTTGGAGTAACCATCTTTCCAGCATCCACCCCCTAGTGAATCCGCAAACAGGGCAGCCAAAATTTTTTTTTGCTTATAAAAAAGTTCTGGTTTAGATTCCTAGATTGTAAGCTCCAAGGAGCAGGGCCCTCCTATCCCTCTTGTATTGTTGCTGTATTGTCTCCCTTTTTATTGTAAACCGCTGAGCAAACTATTGGCGCTATATAAATCTTGTATAATAATAATAATAATTTGCAATTTAGCACACAATGTTAATTCTGAACCAACAGATTGCAGGACAAATCATAGACTATTTGCTGCTCTTCTCTTTTCTTTAACCTTTTTCTACAAAGTCACATATTAAAGATGAGCATGTACTGTAAACCGTTGTGAAGTAGGAAAGTGCACACATTTGAAGGCCAGATAGATAAAAGTCCATGCATTTGAAGATCTCTTGCATATCCTCTAGCAGCATCCGTATGACTCACATAATCGGGTTAAGAGGATTATATGATTGTAAATAATACCTGGGCAAGGGCAAGGAAAATGGAGAGCAGCAGAAACAGAAGAATAGATAATAATAGGAGCAGGGAGGGGGGCCAAGCGAGATAAAACCACTGCATTTCCTGCTGGGCTATTGGTAGAGTGTGCTTGGAGCCTGGTACAAAGGCTCATTAATTGTGGAATCAAGTGCTCTGATCGCAACTCCTCATGCAGAGATGGAGGATTTACACTTCAGCAACAACACAGGAGAAAGGGAAGAGGGCAGCAAAACTGATCCGGTCATTTCTGGCCTCATAACGAATGATGAGAGTGCGGAGAACGCAGACTCAATTGACTGTAAGGAAACAGGTGACGTTTTTGAAGACAGTAATGATTTAACATCTAGAATTGGTGATGATACTGCATTATTGGGTATTACAGGTTTCATCTTAAAATCAAGAAATGCTTTAACAGAGGAGGAAAAGTCTTTTCAGCCAGGGAAAACTGATTTAAAAGTGACAGCTGAGCATGTTTTCCATCTTGCAATGGAACGGAGGGATCCCCTAGAGGACAATGCTACAGGTATGAAAACAGAATCAAATGATTTACAACTGGATGGTGGATGCTGGGAACATATCACAAACTGGACAGAAAACAGCACAGAGCAAGGGGATACAGGAAGCAGCATGACATGCGATCCCAGTGATTCATCCACATTAAGTGCTGGTTCTCTAAATGTAAGCACAGATGACACTAACTCTTTACAAAGTGACTCATGGATAATACAACGACAACTGATGGAGCCAGAGCTGCGTACTGATGAAATAAATTTGGTGTCATGTGATTCCCTATCTCCAGGAATAGGGTATATGAAAACATTTGATTTGAGGACTGCAGATATCAGTGTAGCGCCAATGGAATCACTGCACTTATCCTTAGTAAGTAACAACAATCTTGTCCTTGGTGCAACTTGTACAGATTCTTCATCTTTGCACTCAATGAATTTACCTATGTCAGGTGCTGATTGGCACATGGGTTCTGTCCCTGTCAAGTGCCTACAACTGGGTGCAGTGAACATTGCTTCATTGACGCTCAGCACAGTTGGCATCAGCGTAATCCCTATGGTGTCAGCAGGCACAACAGACCTAAACCCTTTCACAGACAGCAAAGGGATGGTGTCAATGGAATCACTTGACTGGGAGATGATAAGTACAGATTTGGAGAACCTTGTTACACCTTATGCAGACCAAGTGAATGTAGATTCAATAACCCCTGAAGGTGTAAGGGAACGCTGGCACCCTCTAGAGGATCGTCT